AGAGTCACCTGCCGACCCAACCAAGACTGACGGAAATCAGACCTGATCAGTTTGGCCATAGCAGACAGGCAGCAATGCCGGTCGTGGTGAACACCCTGAGAAAGTGCACTGACAAGCAGACCCTCACACCAACAGTGCGTGCGTCGTATATAAACGATTCACACATACCCACCAAAAAGGCAGGCACCTGCGGTTAAGCAGACACTAAAGGCGGCCAGTATGCCCAAGCACAAATCACACTCATCAGCTGAATTCCCAGAGCTTGCAGTTCAACTCCACCTGTTTACCTTTGAACGGTTTCACGCACTGTTTACTCTCTCTTCAAAGTACTTTTCAACTTTCCCTCACGGTACTTGTTTGCTATCGGACTCGTGTAAGTATTTAGCCTTGGATGGAGTCTACCACCCACTTTGGGCTGCATTCACAAACAACCCGACTCCAAGGGTAGCTCAGAACAGAACTGTCACACTTGATCTCTACCCCCACGGGCCTTTCACCCTCTTTGGACCAGAATGGGAAGCCGTACTCATTGCTGGACTTGGAGCAGAGCAGTAATGTCTGAAGCCAACCTAAACACCACATTGCCTCACGATCAATTAACCGCAGGCTTCGGTGTTGGGCTAATCCCTGTTCACTCGCAGTTACTAAGGGAATCCTTGTTAGTTTCTTTTCCTCCGCTTAGTGATATGCTTAAGTTCAGCGGGTAATCACGTCTGATCCGAGGTCAGGGTCAATTATACAATTCGTGCGTATTACACACACCATCGGTACAAACCATAGACCGAACCATAGAGACAAGATCAAGTGACCAACGTAGCGTACGATAGGTGCGATTCTTCCCGAGCGTGTATAATGTCATTGAGCCACGACTCGAGCACAACCCACCGCAGCATCTCAATCAAGTCATCTAGACCGGACTAGGCTGTGGCCGGACTATTAGGACGGAGCCTTTGACCAGCAACCCGCGTAGTATTACTAAATTCTATCACGGTAAAGTAAAAATGAGGTTGAGAAAATCTCCCCGTAACTAAATAAACCGTATCAAACTAACTCGAACACTAGTTGGAATTCTTCTCCACGGAATACTTTTGTTCCTTCAGTTAGCCTACTGATACAGATGCAATTGGAATTCAACTCTTATGGACAACTTACCGGCATAATCGTTATCCGATTTCATAATTTAAACCAAAACTAATACCAATATTAACATTTCTACAATATTCATTATTTTAATATTTCTAAACACAAAATAATTACTGCTTATAAGTTAAGTTATTAACACGCATCGTTTTATTATTATTATTATTGTAACCCCATTTTTTTATAGCTTAAATAATCTTCACCCAGATTTTCATTTCAAGCGTTTTAAACATGAAGGCAGATATTTTAAAATTATTACATGTATTTCCCGACCAGATGCTGCCGCTTTCTTTTTGATTTATCTTTCAGCTTACCAATACCCGGAGGATTCTTATTAACCTTGGTAACCTCCGGCGCGCGACGATCCCATCCAATTTGGTATCGAACCAACATCACGTTGATTCTGGTGGGAGAGTAGTGTAGTGGCATTGGACAATAGCCACACAATCCACAAAGCTGTGAACACGAGACTACTCAGAAAATAAATATTCAATATTTAACGCCGAGAAATACCTAACAATGGAGAAGGCGCGAACAATGAATTGAATGGACTGGAGTTGATCGAGTGGCATGGCTCGGCCATGCAGGCGTGGTCTCTATTCATATTAAATATATTGTTCCTTCTCTAAACTAAGCTGGTTCTTCATCATGTATTGGTAATTGATACGATACAGTGAGTTGGCGTAGTCGATGGTGTGACTTCCACGTAAGATCTTAAAGATTAGGCAGTTATATCATGACGAATCTACAAATTTAGGATTAGGTCTATTATTAGAGCAGTACTAATATCATAGTAGACCATAGTTCTACAGATATGCGGGTAAACACGCCGGCAGGCACTCGCCCAATCCACGACCCAATGTGCGCCGTGATAGATGAAAAGCCGACCCTCGGACAGGCGTGGCCACAGAATATCCCGTAGCCGCAATATGCGTTCAAGATGTCGATGTTCAAAGCAGTATGCAGTTCACATTAATTCACACAGTTGGCTGCACTCTTCATCGACACACGAGCCGAGTGATCCACCGCTCAAAGTTGTACGCCAATAATCCCATACATTGGTTTCCCAAATGCATAGAACTAATGGTTAACGCTGCAGCCTAGGATATTTACCGCTAAGCCAGCGTACATGCAGTCCAGCACGAAGCCAGGTGCATGCCAGGCAGCAAACCCGTGAATGGCAAGCCAAACCGGATCGCTTCAACAGTGTAAAAGTTTGAAATAGGAACAATAACGGGGCGGATTTGCATGCATATAGCATACAATTCTCTTTGAACCTGGCGTTCAGTCTTAATCCCTCAGATGGTAGCTTCGCACCATTGGCCTTTCGACCAGGCACATATACCAATTATCTGAACCTGCGGTTCCTCTCGTACTAAACAGGATTACCATAGCAACGGCCAGATTGTACTTCACTGATGTACTCATTAGTAGGGTAAAACTAACCTGTCTCACGACGGTCTAAACCCAGCTCACGTTCCCTATTAGTGGGTGAACAATCCAACGCTTGGTGAATTCTGCTTCACAATGATAGGAAGAGCCGACATCGAAGGATCAAAAAGCATGTGCGATAAATGGTACGACAAAACGAGTATGTTGTGACTTTATGGGCCGCCTGTTATCACGTAATCTAGTCACCAATCAAAATACGACCTATTCGTTCTCATACTGTACCAAAACAGTGACGTTCGACCGGACAGATCGGCCTAGCGTCCTATTGGTCTGTTGCTCACCTAGCCCGTCCAGTTGAGTCCAGAATGTCAATAACAACCTCGACTATGCTGGGTTTACATACCAAATAAACAGATTGCAACGCACCATAAAACAGAAAATAACACTCCTACAAAATATAGACAAAAGTGGCTGTGAACGTGGGAGACAGTAATTAGTTAACTGAGTATAACTTAGGAACAGTAAATCATATAATAGTAATCTATTGGTTATATTGAAGCTTAGAATTAGGGGAATATAGATATATACAATCTAGTTACTGAATAGTTATACCATACGAATATATAGATAATATTGGTCCGTTAATAGTCCCAAACTCTACTCTCAATTCAATCTTCATTAGGATATAACAGAGTACCACCTTAAATCCCACCGTGTTCAAAATATGTTCAACCCCCATTGTCTTAGTGTGCTTTGCTGTTTGAGTAAGACATGACTGATTCAAGAGGGGATTAGATTTCTGGTATTAGCCAGAAAGAAAGTGAGAGCTAGACTGACAGCAAAGAATCTTTCAATATAGTAAGTGCTGTTTCTAGACGACCCAAAAACCTGTCTGCGAAGCGTTCAAATATAAGACTTCCTTTAAACCAAATGACAATCGAGATACCACTGGCATTCGGTTGCTTGAGTTCTAAATTTCTCTGCTGCAAATGCCAAAATAGGTTGATAGCTCATGGAAAACATATTTTGTGGTACATTGACAATTGTGTCAGGAGTCTAAAGACGTGTAGGTCGCCAGCCTTCAATTCTCTACAGTCATGATACAGTTGTACGAATTCTCTAGACCCAAGGTTGGCTGTGTGTGACCTCTTAATTAATATCGCTTGCCGCTTGAATAAATACGGTGGAATAAGTGGATCCTCTCAATCCTTCATTTTTACAGCGAAGCTCTGTGCGAAAAAATAACAGGTAGGGTGCGGAAGGACTGAATATCTTTGGCATCAAGAATCTTTTTCCCTACATCGATAACTGATTTCTTAGAAAGCCTATTCTCTCGAGTATCGGTAACACAAGTAAAATTATGATAGTTTGAACATGAATCTTCTTGTGGGAGCTCTAAAGAGACATCGAGCTTGAAAAAGTTAAAAGTACTGTGCGTTTGACAACGCTTTAAACAGGAACACTTTTATTAATCGAAATATGCCAACCCAGTCAAATTAAAGGTCAGAAGCAAAGAGGTTCAAAGTTGCATTTGACAGAATGTCGTTATATCAAGATGTAAGCAATAAGCTGGCTAGTTGTCGTAGATGGGAAGCACGACGTACCTAATCCTGATCTGGTACACATGCGTGACTGAGGGCCTTCAGCTAGGTGAGTCCATTAAAACTAATGCCGTAATCATCAAATGTTGATTTTGGAGATTTACTTGCCGTTACAAGCCATTTAAAGACTTAGCAAGGAAAAACTCCATAAAACTCGACTTAATAAATTATAGCACCCGATTCATTCACTTCAACACAACCTAACAAATAATTACGAAATTTGAAGTCATTGACCCTCTCATGCTTTGAACGCTTTACTGTTGGCGGAAAAATTTTTGCACTAAAACCAACTACTGAAGAAGCATGACTAAAGTCAATACCATATCTATTCTTAGTAATGTACTTCTGTCAAAACGTCGTCTGTGGCACAGTCGTAAAGATAGCTGTGGTAGTTAGTTACAGTGAGAAGGTAATTCGCGCTAGGTGCTAGTCGTTAATTGTGACTTCGGCACAAACTGATTGGTCGCGACGTTCCTGCACCCAGTTATTTACATGGATAATCTACTATCTCTAAATATCTAAACTGGACCAAAGAGCAAAAACACTACATAAATGATTACAACATGTATAAAATGGCAAAATATAGTGCAGGAACAAGAGAGTAGTAATTACAATCACAAGTTACCGACAAGTTCAGGAAATATGCGCGCAGAAAGATTTCAGAACCTGTGAATTTACGATTACAAGGCAGTATTCCAGAATGAAATATTTCACCTCTGTAATCCTGAAATTTCAGCGAAACTTGTATTTGAGCACCAGAATTTCACAAAAAACCTGAAATCAACTTATTTTAACCCGTTTTGTGGTTATTGGACATTGCTGGTAGCAACAGATTGTTTTTATTAGTGTTGTTATAGTACCAACTCAGGGTAAAATTTAAACTGAGGTCAAATAGCAATATTGATGTAACATTAGGAACAGCAAAATAGAGATCTATTTACAAACTATTGATTCTTACCTAGATGGATTAACATCTTTGGTTCGATCACTGAAGTTAGTTAGGTGCTAATAAAGCAAAGAATTTATTCGTATATCACTCTAATTTATGGGTACCTTTGAACGAATCTCAAGCGACCTTGAGAAATATTAGCTAATAAGGCAATACTCATTCCATTTGACAGCTGAAGTCTCAGCAGCATCTGCAAATGTTGCTGCCAATGTTGCTGGCTCTGTTATTATCCAATTTGCGACAATTATCTTGACTTTTATTAATCTCAATCTCGATCGAGCAAAGAAAGTTCCCATTCGAGCAGTCTTCTTTCTCCAACATAAAGAACATCAAAAGACAATGTCATCATGATAGTCTAAACACGATACTGCAGTCATTTGATAGCTGCATCCACAAATAAAGGAACTTCTTAGTGGTCCCATCTGTTGTAGCCGCTCATTAATCATGTCTTCTCTGAAGTCCACTGTAAACAGATCGTACGTGAGTATCAGGTGCTGAAATTGGCGCCGTGACCCAGAAATTCCTCAAACGCTTCTGATTGGCTCGTCCATAAATTAGAGTCTCGCCAGATTTACTCGAACCCAAGCAACACTAAAAGGGGAAATAAAGGCGAATAAAGGGGTGAATGCTTTGGTAGCGAAAGGGGAAGTAAAGGGAAAAACGCATCAGAATGTCGCCTTTTTCGCCTTTTCGGGGGAAATAATGCGGATTTTCCCCTTTTTCGCCGTTTTGTCGACAAATTACCGACTTATCGCCTAAATATCCTCCGAATTGTCGCATTTCCGCCTGAATAACCGCTGAATTTGCGAATTTTCACCTAAATATCCGCCGTTAACGGCAATCCTAGCCATCTGATCAAGTTACACACTTGAGCTCTTATCCCGATATCAAAATTTCTTCAGTTACGCGCATACATGATTGCTGATTGTGAGCGTTCGTAGTGCGTTTTTGTGCTAACTGAGGTCTTGACTCAAATGAGTCGAGTACTTTCTCAGTTCCTACAGGCAACCGGTCTTAGTCAAAAATGATGGCAAATTTAAATTTCTAAAAGCATATATTGTTAAAATTTGTTAAAGAAAAATTTTGTTGATAATAGTGTTCCTAGTCAATTCTATAGAGATGACTATCTGTTGATCGACTGACCGCCCAATTTCAGGGAAAATCTTACCCTTTTTGAGGAAATTTTGGGAGTGCCGCTACAGAAACTTCCGGAAAACGGCACAGAAACCCCAAAATAGGGAGATTGGGCGGAAAAACCTTTCCCGGGTGAGTTATTTTTATGGGGTCACACAGGATCTAATATACGTTAATTGAAACAAAACATAGCGTAGAAGCATTTTTTCTGCCGTTACTTATAACTGTGCAACCATTAGCCTCAAACTTAATTTGTTGAGTCCTTCGCATATTTTGTTCCAAACGCAAACGTTTGGTTAGAAGAATATGTTGACTGAATGACTTGGAGATTTTAACATAACATATCTCTCACCTTTTGATACAACTCCACGTTCATTTGTACTTTTCAAAATTACCTGGAACTCGCCCTCGCTAATTAATGATAAAATTAGCATTTAATCCTGTTTGTCAAAGAGTTTCGAGAGCTACTACTATGTCACAGAGGAAGAAAGATTAAACGTACTTATGGTGAGTGTATGATTGATGAGCATCAATGTTGAAAACTTACAGAACTATTTATTCTGAGGATTTATTTACCGCTGCAAATATGAGAAGTGCTTTTAACTTTTGATTTCAAGAAGCTCAAATTATATCTGGGTCTCCTGCGTAAAGTTCGATAACTTTCATTTTAATGCTTATGCATTATGAAGTTTGATGTAAGTTACCGCTCATTCCACTCTCATCAGGATTTTAGCAGAAAGCGTCTAATAAAACATTGCAGACTATATACCAGTTAAATACCTTCAAATTTTCCTTTTGGGCCCATCTCATAGTTGTCGGTGCAAACGTTTGCTGCAAAGAAGTCTTTAGTTTTCCCTGAATTCCTCAGAAATGTTCAGATTACTTAACTGAAGTGGAGAAGGAAGGTTCAAAACATTATGTGGCCCATAGTTCGCCATGATTGCTGTAAGATCATGCTAAAACTGTGAAAACCGTCGCATTTGGTGTTTTTCGACTAAAGTCAAGGTATTTCTCTTCATCGATAAAAGTACGGCAAATCGAACGAAATAAGTAATTGATGACTACAGTTATCAACGGTCCAAATATTCCGAATAACCGTAAACATCAGAAAAATGTATGAATAAGATAAAAGACACAATTTAATGGACGCGAAAGAGAAAACAGTTGGAAACCGTAAATGTGTGATTTGTGTTGTTCAAAGCTCATCAACAGGGCTTGTCTAAAATGCTGGTAAATTATTAATCCACGTCTCATTTGGATTCACATCATCCAGTGCCACAGCTAATGACGTTGCTATTAAGGTACTCGGGTAGCAACTGATGTCTTTCAAAACTGAAATTTTCACAATTATTGATTACTGACGTTTGACGGATGTTCTATTTGTCTAGTGATCGGTGGTGGTTGAATTCAATCCACTAATTTACTATCGAGTTAATACTAAAAACTTTATTCTTTAAGTAGGTATGGTGACATAAGGAATTTTAGTTGCAATTCTGAACTGATGTTTATGACAAAGGTCAGATTATATGAATTATTTATGAGTTTCATTCATGAAAGTTTTGCTTTGTTTATACAAAAACAGTTTTGCTTTTCAAATAGTCCATAGAGCCCGTTTTATTTTCATTATAGAATTTACTTATTGTTTAACAATGATGGACAGATAGTTAAATCCCTGACAAATAATTTGATTTTGAAAACTGAATTGCGGTGCGAAGTGAAACTGAAACAAACACATGTCAAATTACACTAGCCATCAGAATAAACGCCCAGATATTGTGAGAAGAAATCAAGAAGAAGCACAAAACTCCACATTATACATTTTAAAACAGTATGGACCAACATTTTACTTGCTACAAGACGGTTCGAAGCAAAAATATAAGGTGGGTCTAAAATGCTTTAAACCTATCGCATTAGGTACAACTCGGTGATATTCATACTTGCTCATGTGGTGATTTTACAAAAAATCGTGAACTATGTGTTCATTTATGCTGGATATTAATTAGACGATTCAAAGTAGACCCAAATAATCCTGGTATATGAAAAATAGGTTACTGACTTTTGTTTAGTATCTTGGCAATCTGGATTAGTTGAGCGAGAAATATCAGCTCTTTTAGACGGACAGCACTCAGCAACGAATAATGTCACAAATTTAACTCAACCTAAAGTTCTGAATGAGGAGAAATTTGATGAAAAGGTATGCGTGTTACGTATTTTTAACTAAGTTAGCCTTCATATAACCTACAACGCCAAATTGGAGAAAACGATATTTGCCCAATATGCCAGGATTACCTTTTTTCTCAAGTGCGACTTCCAGTAACATTTTGCCGTAAAAATTGTGGTAACAGTCTACATATACGATGTATGAAAGTATGGACAGACTATCAAAGAAAACAAAACCCTTTAGGTAAGCGGAATTTTGAAAATTGTCTCGAAGATAAATTTTTCGTTTTGAAATAATTCAGACTGAAATTTCAAAGCTGTAATATTCATTATTTATCAGGTTATCAGGTTTTGTGGGAGAAAAATTACTCTTGTTTATCAATCGCTGTCATTTTCAAGGTCATCGAAAAGTATCGGTGTAATAACAACAACTAGGTATGCAACTATTAAATCATTAGTAATTCTGGTCTAGAAGAAATTTCATACTTGCGTTGTAGAATTTCGCATATACTGCTTCAGAGATTGCGTGTAAATCAAATTTGGAAATAAAATTAAGAAATAATCTTTAGGTCCAATCAAACTCACTAGACAATTGATAATTCTGACTTTTTGTATGATAAAATTAGTTTAGTGTTGAAAAGAATAGCTTCCGATCTTATTTAACTGGCGACACATATGAGGCCTTTCTTTAAAAAAATGGAATGCTTGCGTGTGAAGTCAATTACTAGTTAGATGTAGAGTATTTTAACAAAGAAACTTATTTTCATAATTCAAAATTCTCTTATAATAAATTTTCGGGCAAACTTGAATTACTTAAAACTGTTATATTGTAATACAGTTTACCATAGGTATACAAAATGTACCTTAAGCATGATGAACTGACTTGTGGACAATCCTCAGATTACTTTTATTTACCCAAATCACTGCTGAATTTACTTTAAGACTTTGTTTTAGTATTCACTAGTTTAATAAGAGCTCTAACTGAGCGACTGATCAACTAGCAAAAACAGAGCACAAAACGCATTTGAAAGTCAGTTTATAAAAGTACTGTTACCAAAAAGATGTTCATTTATTTTTAGAGCAATTAGTTCCTTTGATAAATTTCGATAATGCAATGAGAAGACGAAGTTTATCAGAATTATGTGATATATTTGCGCAATACATTTCGAACAACCTGATCACACATATACTTGTTAGGAAAATTCATATATTAAAATTAAAAGGTCAACTAGACAGGTTAAAGGTAAGCCATAACAAAAAAAATATAGTACACGAAAACAAATGTGATTACCACTCTGGATAATAAACCAGTATTATCGGGGTAGGTTAACTGTAAGGACAAATTGTTTTTGAACACATAAAGGTGGTTTAAGTTTCCGTATAGCCAAGGCTTTAATAAACCTTAGTATACGTCCTTGAAGGCTTTTGTATAACACCACAAATGCTGACTTGATGTCAACCTTATGGCCAGTCTCATTCAAATGTTCCACAATGGAGGATGATGTCTGTCTCTCCTGTGACCTTATTTGACCATCGGAATCCATTTGTTTCTGCAACCATTTTGGTATGTGTTCGCCCACCCTTAATTGAAGATCACGATTGCTCCTCCCTATATACGTGTTTCCGCACATACTTGTAAATTGATAGACTCAGTGGGATGAGACACAATCGTTTTCGTGCTGTTTGGGTTTTTGGTGAAACATAGACCTTGTCTTTTCGATAATGACAATTTGGGCTGCATAAAAAATCTAGTTGATAGCTAATTTAAGTATCCGTTTCAATATGAAACTATTTGTGTCGTCTCTGAATGGTAACTTAATGCAAACTCGCTTTTTGGGTGCCAGAAGCGTCATAGGTCTAGTCGTATTGCAACCCTTCTAGTGGTTTATGAACTTCAATGCATAACCATTATTCAGTAACGTATCAGTCAAGAGCTTCGTCTCTACTTCAATAGTTGTCGAATGTAAACTGAATATCATTTAAGCACATAGATAGTAAGTGTTTGAACTTTATGTTGATCGGTTCAAGATTTCAGAGTGCTAGCAAATAGTATTCATGGTTTCACCAAGTGATAGTTTAACGACCATTAATGTTATATCAAGGAGAACTCTGCACTTTTCGCAAATATGTGGTTCATTTTGCTACCTGACAAACTCTTTTTCCGAAGTTTATCCAGCTACTCGTCGTTAAACATGTTCCTACCTATAATTTGTGTAGCAGACACACTATTAGCAGAGCATATTAACGCACTGATAGTAAAAGTGTTGCTAAAACGCAGTTTTTATGAATCTTCGCTTAGTAATATGCAGGTATTCACTTTGAAGTATGTAATAAAATGTGCACGAAGTATGTGTTTGCTTGGAGTCTCTTCTGTATCGGTTGAATATAATTGGTTAACTATGAATTTTAAGATGTATCTAGACAGATATGAATGAAGTATCCATTGTAAAGTTCTACTTGTTAATAATATTGTATACTATTATTATCAACATGATGGCAAGCAGTTTACGTCTAAAGGATTCTACAAACCTTCACTTATTTTCGTATTTTTATGCCAGGATTAATGGATTACGTAAAATGTCCTATTTGTCGAGAGGATTTTGCACCCTTACATGTTCTTATTCGGGAATTTACGGAAAATGTGAAAACAGATATTAAAAAGTCTACTGAACCTAAACATATTCACAATATGACCATTATTGGTCAAGCAAACGATGCACATAGAAAACTGAACATCGAAACAATGCAAACAAGACATTCAAATACACGATGTTTATCATGTTTATGCTCGCCAATATTAGGTAATATTTATCGTTGTGAAATATGCTATCAATTAGGACAAGATGAAAATTTAAATCCGTTTTTATGTTCACTATGTTTTCGTTCTAATAAGCATTTACAACATGGTCTATATGTTTATAGAGAGGTATGATAATTTTAATTATGTTGATATAAAATTTTTTCTCTAATTTAATTGAAACTTAAATATACTGATTTAGTGTTAATTAGGTAGTTTTATGAAAAGTTAGAATAAGTTGAAGATGATTCCAGTCAATAAATAATAAGAGATGTAGAATAATTGATTTTAATTAGTGTGATATTTCACTGAAGTATTATTCACAGCTTCATTTAAAGTCGGAGACAAAAGCTTTAACTGACATCAATATGGACTTTCCAAGGTTCTAATGACGAGCCTTGACGTATAGGACTGACCTATTTTTAAATGACTCTCTACTTGATGATGAAAATCTTCGAATTGTTAAAAATTTGTTAAACAAATAAAATTTTAGATAAAAAACACTGATTATCAATGGATATAATTGATTTATATTTAAAATAATAATTAATCTCCATGACTGTTAAGACTTGAGGAATCCAGATCTGTAATTTAGCTATCACTAAATAGGAATCATTGTCGAACTGGATTTTCGTAATAGATGAAGTGTTATCATCATTTAAAGGTTAGTTTAATGGACAGACAAATCTTTGTTGCAAAATGTTTAACTTCCACTGAATTTATCCATCTATTTATTTCTTGAATAAATTGCAGGAAAAAATGAATATCGAGTTTATTTACCTGCCGACCACTTGTAATTAATTTGTTCAATGTTTTTTTGAAGCTGTGCTTATTCAATGTACGAAAATTTACTACATTTTGCACTGTACTAGTTATATACAAGGAACATCGGATAGCTGCCAATTGAGCATCAATGAAATGAAAATATGTTGTTTGTGTTAGCTAACTTTTCAGTGATATTGAACTGCTTACACTAAACTAATGAAAAGAAGATAAGATATTGAATGATTAAAAATTTCAACACATTATTAATATAAATGGAAATTAACCTTGTATTAAAAAAATCATTTACCATGTTAATTTAGCTAGTTGGTTCTAGTTATGGTAAATTATAGTGTATCAACTATCGCAATGTAAAACTACATCTTACAGATAATCAATCGTGTGTTACTGTGGCTGAGCTAAAGGACTACGCACAACATGTAAAGTTCAAGAGAAAGGAGAATTAGCAGAAGTTAAGAATGTTTACTATCATATCTTCATTCTGTGCTTTAAAGATAACATATCTTCCTCAACATATATGTGTCCTGAGCTCGTTTATATCTGTTTTGGTTGTCGGGCATTGCTGGACAGTCGGGAGATAAGATGAAATAAGTGTCTAGTACCGATGAATTTTCTTCATTTAGTTTCAGTCTATTATGGAGTTTAAACTAAGCCTATAAAACATTTATCGACAATATTAATAGAACGTGACTATGTTTTCTTTATAAGGTCTAGGAATGGTTTTTTATATGTAGACGTTATTATTGGCTTTTATAGGTTTCTAGTTGGGTAGTATAAATAAATAGTTTAGTCACTACTCCAGTTGTTTAAAACTAAAAATAATTGGTGGTGTAAATTGCCATCTCCTTTTCTGATAACATATAATGTGGCATGACGCTGGCTGCTGAAAACTTGTCCTCTTAACAAAAACACTTTACAGATTGAAACGACGGAGGATTACTGATATAGTTGAATTCTGACAATCTTTCCCAGGTTTCGATTCATGATTTTCATATTTTCAATAAATATTTTATATCCAACTAATTAAGTAAGAGAAGTTTCCAATTTTGTCCTTAAGACATCACACGGAAAATGGCTTGAAGTACCACCCAATCGAGGTGATATTACAAATCTCTCTGGACAGTTAGTTGGCAAAGTTCAAGAAAACAATGAAAACCTTCAGTCGAGGTATGTTTAATAATGGTATTGTGAAAAATTCCTTTGTATTAGTTTACTGAAGGAACAATACGCTTGAAAATGACGCACTTACTGGATAATCGAGGAAGTTGGTTTCTTTTCAATGAATACCACTATTAGAAATATGGTAGTAAATATTTATGGCTTAGAAAAAATGTTAAATAAATTTAGTATACTTTTTGTAAAGTTATTTATGACAGAGCTTTCAATAATATATTAATCTTAGTTGTCAATGAAATTTTACATAAGAATTTTCACAAAATACTGAGTCTTTTTCATTCTGGTTGATTGAGTTTATTTTTTCTCAATCATAGACATGTTTAGTAATCTGTAACCGAGCTTTTTGATAAATTCAACAGCATTCGTTTAGTCACTTACGATAGTGTGGATTAACACAATGATTTTCACTGGCTGATCGCTTTCGTTGGTTGGAATCGAATCAGTTCAGAATGGATGATGAATATTTTTGTTTATGTTTTACATATTACAGTATTCATCATATTTTCAAAAGTGGTGTGGTATGGAGTTCATCTCTTTAGAGTTCTTCAAGTATTCTTCTACATTTTCGGTTCACGAATAATGTTCACAGATTTGAGCCATCGAAATTCAATTATTCAACCAAACGCAAATGATGTAAATTTGAACTAGGTATCTCAGAATACATTTAATCGCATCGCTCCTTCTGAACTACCTATATACTTCATTGTCTAAAAGTTGCCTATAATTGGTTTTGATTGCTAATTTCCTGTAACGTATCAATTTAACTTCTGTATGTAAAAATTTCTAGTCTCTATCATAACTACTCATCATTTACCTATATGGTGAAGTAAACATTTTCTTAACTATACTTCATCTATTCTTTTAGATAAAATGATATTATTTCACTTTAAGTCACCAGATACATTAAATAATGCCTTGAAACAATATGAAATAAATATATTACAATAATACATTATTTATTATTTAAACACATAAATATTGGTAAAAAGTGGCACCGAATACATTTGCGCTACATAAGTCGCTTGATTTGTGTGTGGGCTGTAATACTGCCCGGGTGTCCAAACCAAATTGGTGATTTTCTTAGGGGGACACACGATAGCCTTCGACCTAAAGGTCTAATCCACAAGGCAATGAAGCAACGTTAGAAAATCCAGTCCAATGGCAGCCGGTGGCCAACAATTAGTTCATACTCCATTTGTTCCCTCAGGATCATAGAGCCCATGTACATCATTGATTTGGAGTCAGGGTTTTCCAACCTCCCTAGGTGAGTCCTCCATACCCACCAACCCGGTTAAAGTACCGGACATTCACTTTTCGTCCTCTCAATTTCGTGAACAACACACACACCGAGAGAAGGCAGTGAGTAGGAATTCCCTGGCAGTGGTTGTATGCACGTGGCCACTTGAGAGCGTTTCGGGAGAGAGAGAGCTGACTCTCCCGACCCTCGGCCGTGCCAGGGCATTTTGGAGCTTAATAGATTGACGATAAAAGATTTTTGTCATGTCTCTTCCTTAAAACTTATAAATTATTGCTTCAATACCATGTTTCGAAATATCGTTTTTAATGCAAGATAATATTATTTGGTTTCTAAATGGAACTACTTTAGTTTTTTTCATCATCGTTTCAGAAGCTATAGAATCCTGAATTAACACTCAAAATGATTTTGTTTGTGTATTTTTTAAGCTCAACAGAAAAATTCAACCATTTGTCAATTAACGAAGAATGGAAACCTCTTCAATTAGCTGAATTAGCTCAAATTCGTCAGTGGACAATTAGAATTCCCAGAAATCATTCTGATTTCATCTCACCAAAACCGTCGGACAAAGCAACTAATAATGATAATAAAATTAAATCTGTGAAAGGAAAGTCATCGACAAGTTCTAATTTATTTCCAGAGCGTTCAGGGACATCACTCTCGATGGGATTGTTATCACCAGGTCGTCAATGCCTTCTTTGTTTAATGTTTTTTAAAGTAAATGATAAAGTTAGACAACTGTCACCTGGCTGTAAACATATTTTTCATTCATATTGTATTGATCCGTGGCTGCTTCATAAGTGAGTTCGTCAATTAATGGCATAAAATTTAATTTATACGAATCATAATTTAACTGTTGAAAAGAAGATATACAGATAATATACGTGTGTGTATCTAAAAAAGAAACTTTTATTTTCGACGAGAACATTTAATAATTCTGGATAATCATACTTATAGTGGATTGGTTGAAGTAAGACATTAACACTGTTGGCTCAGTGGTCTAGAGGTTAATTGTTCACGCGCGAAACCGAAGGTCTTGAGCTCGAGTCCCACTTGCGGGATCGCGGATGCTCACTGGTGAGGAGTCCTATGCTAGGACGAAACGGTCGTGCAGTGCTTCCATGTTTTCAATGGCGTTCTAACATTGATCCATTCATGATATCGATCTATTATTCATAGTTATTTTACACGCAGTAACCTGCTATAAAACAGAATGGCGTTAGGTTATTGGCAAAGTGTTGGGAAACTTCTGGTATCAGAAAAACGTTTTATGATGCTTTCAAGAGCGATAAGAAGTAGAAAAATGGAGACAGTTTGTAACTGAAGAGTGTAAAGGTTCTCTGACATTGTCTTTTGAAGAAGGGTGTGCCTGAGAAGTTTATCAACATCTTAAAGACCCTACATACAAACACCTCAGGCAGGGTGAGGGCATACAACCACCTTTCTCAATTGTCCTATTCAAGCAGTGGGGTTAGGCAGGGTTGCCCAATCTCACCATTCCTCTTCAACTTTGCCATCGATGACATTCTGGAAACAGCTCTGATGGATGTAAGCAACGGCAGTGTGGATCTGTGGCCTGGAGAAAGACTTCTCGACCTTGAGTATACTGATGATAATGTCTTACTGGTGCGATAATGCCCAAGGCATGCAACCCGCACTTAATCAGTTGGCAATCAGTGTCCATAAGAATGGTATATGGTTTGTACCTTCGAAGTGCAAAGTACTTCTACAAGACTGGCAGGATTCTAATCCTGTGCTCACCCTGGATGGTGAGCAGATAGAAGTAGCCGAAAAGTTGGTGTATCTGGGTAGCTGCATAAGTGCTGGTGGGAACGTGAGTGATGAGATCAATTCACGTATAGTGAAAGCCAGAGCGGCTTATGCCAATCTGGGCCACCTTTGGCGCCTTCGTGATGTCAGTCTGGCTGCAAAAAGTCGGATCTACAACGCGTCGGTTAGAGCAGTTTTGCTCTATGCTTGTGAAACCTGGCCTCCAAGTTGAGGACGTTAGACGACTCTCTGTGTTCGACCATCGTTGTCTCCGAAGGATTGCTGCCATACAGTGGCAACACCATGTCAGTAATGCAGAGGTTGGGCATCGTGTGTTAGGGCAGAGAGAAGATAATGCAATCGGTGTCACCATCTTGAAACATTGACTTCGGTGGCTTGGACATGTTCTCCGAATGTCGTCCCAGAGAACTCCACGTCGTGCATTATTTGCCGACCCTGGGACTAGTTGGAAAGAGCGGAGAGGTGGTCAGTATATGACATGGTATCGTGGCATGAAAGAAAGCTGAGAAGGACTGGCTTGTGTTGGTCCTTCACGACTCCCTGACTGGGGTCCGAGAGATGGTGCAACACAGTGGCTAGAGACGTTATCAGATATGGCTCAGAATAAAAGTCAGTGGCGATCCTGCTGTAACCTTCTTTTACTTTCTTCGTAAAAAGTTGTTGTATCTTCCTCAACTGAGAGAATTCTTCCGGTTGTACCTTTCCGTTTCACCCATTATTATTACTATTACACTACCTTACACTAATCTGCTGTCGTTATTGTTTTTTCCTTATACGCACCTTACATTCTTTTTTCTCTTCCCATTCTCATTGTTTTGTGTGGCGCATATGTATTTGGTTCCCCCTTGTACCAATATTTATGTGTTCAAAAAAATAAATAAATAAAATAACGAATTTCAAGAAGAAAGTTAAGTAGTAATGTAGTATCCATATGGAGATAAGAAGGCTTATTGTTATGATAGTGTTGGAGTGATCCAGAAAATTGCTTGCAAAAGACAAGCAAGCATCAGGAAACACTAAGAAGCGTTTCGTCCAATCAGCGTTCACTTGAAGTTTTTGCCAAAAATATCAAGGAAGCGAAACGTCACATGTAGAGGTTCTGATTGGCTGGTTGCTGTACTGCTACTATGTTTAGTAGCATTCCAGAATATTATAGTAACCCAAGGACATTTAAAATATTATGAAAACCCTGCATTTCTTGTATTAAAGTGAACCTTGGACTAAACTACTTCTCGCATACTTTGAGTTTTCTCTCTCATGTTCAGGTCGCTGTATAGTTCTAGCTTGGGGGTTACAGAATAGCTTAGGAGACGAATATAGCGTTCAGTCCGCAAGATAGAATGAAATATCAAACATGTCTCTTACGAATGAACTCACGAACAGATTATGGCTCTCTTGTGCATAAGTTTCTGATACACCTTTCATTTGAATTCAGTTGTTTGATCTGATAGATAATTTTAAAACTTTGGATGACACTGCATACCCAGAATTGATATATTGTTCAAGAATCAATCTACTAATTGACATAAGTTATCTTTTTAATAGTGTTATAACTTGTAGCCTTGTACCTTAATAATATATAATGTAATGATACCGCCAATTAGAGAACAGTGATTTATCAACTGGACCAATGACGCATAAACACCTACGAGCAGTCTAGAGTCTTTATCGGTCCTTCTTCCTACTTAGCCCTGCCTGTTGAGTCCAGAACACCAATCTCAACCTCCGCGATGTTAATCATGCATTTCAAACATACTGGTTTTATATACAAATCAAACAGACCACATCGTACCATAAAATAGAAAGTAACATTTGTACAAGATCTAGCCAAAAATGGTTGTGAATGTGGGAGACTGTAATTAATAGATCGAACATGACTCAAGAATGGTAAATCGCATAATAATAGTCTGTGGGTCAAAATAAAGCTTATGATAGGGGGAACATGAATATACGTAGTTTAGCTACTTAACAATTATACATTAAAAATATATGTATCGTATTGATCCACAAATCGTTCTCAAAAGTTATCATTCGTAATTCTCGTCAGGATATAACAAATAGGCGGATAGGTAAATGCTCACGTATGTACATGACTTTTCCATTTGATACTATTTCCCTACAAAGCACAAGTAAACTAAAGGCTTATCTAGTTTGATGACAATAATTAAATCTGAATATCCTGTATTTTTCTGATCACTTGAATGCTTTCAAAGTTATTGGTTTGTAATCAAAAGGCTTTTTTGTGAATATTATAGTAATTTAATAGTTGAATTCGTGAGTCAATTAAAGCTAGACCACAATGGAAAACCTAGAATCGCTGGACAGACGTTTATTCTTAGTATGGGGCTCAGCTGTGCGTACCCACGATCCCGCTCGCGGGATTTGAATCCAGGATCCATCGCCTTCGTGAGCGAACGCCTAACCTCTAGACCCTTGAGTCGACATCCAACGGTGTTGATGTTTAACTTCAACCTACCCACGGACTTGCGCGATCATCTTCCATTGTCTGAGGCAGATATCCGTCTCTACCTGACACCGTGGTCTAACATTCATCGATTCATGATACCTCTAGACCACGATAGAGGTTAGGCGCTCGCTCGCGAGACAACACTGCTCACTGCTGAGGAGTCCCATACATGGACGAAACGACCTTCCAGTGCTTCCAGGTTTTCCATGGTGGTCTAGCTTTAATTGACACATGGATTCAACTTTTAAATTGTTGGTTTGTTTTTATTCTTTATCATGTTAGGTCATCAACATGTCCGATTGATAACACACCTATTCGTCCTATAAAAACAATCGATAAAAAATCATCGACAAATCGTACACCAAGACAAAGAACTGATGAAATGTTGACTGACAATTTGAGTGAATTAAAAATCTTTGCAAAACGTATTGAAGGCGAACCGAAAATTAGAGCGAACCCCTCTCATAATAACTTAGCGAGCACTGGGGATTAATTTCAAAGAAAAAATTAACTTAACGTAAGTCATAATGAATTTATGCACACGCACCGAAATATCACCCCAATTGACCTCTTATACAAGCGTCATGAAAACGAATCTGTTTGTATTGATGCGAGCCTAAATTAACATAACACAAGTATCTTGTATAGAAATTCCTTTGTATATATAACTGGATAATGTTTTTTTTGAACAAATTTTATTCAAACTGTAGTAGTCCGTAACATCAGAATACTATGATACCCCTAATCATAATAAGATTTGAACTTAGTATTCGCTGCATTAAATAGTAGATTATTACTGACTAGACTGCTATATTATAACATTTACCTCATGTTTATACAAAATTTGCGAGCTTATGTAGAAATAATAAAAGGTTGTTGCTGGTGTAATAGACTGTTACACGTACGTGTACTATGCCTCGAAACTTTTATCTGCATTAATTAGATCTTTACACAGGAAGAAGTGTTAAGAATGACAAATATGTTTCAATTAGGTTTTCTATGATCGTCGCTAGTAATATTGTGGTGTGTACTACTTATATTGACATAAGTAGTATATGATGTTAGTCGTAAACAGAAGGTCTGGCAGCAGAGAAACAAGAGGATCGAACAGTAAAGAATGGAAATAAAATTCAATTTGTATGAAAATGCAAGAACAATGAAGTCTGAGTCATTTTGAGACAATTGGTGGACATTTTGCAAATTAGGCATTTACTTTATGATTGTTAGATTTTTTTAAAAAGTCCTGTAATTTTGTGTTAAATACGTTCGATTGTCCCAACCCGTGGTTTGATCACTACAATATCATTTCTTCTAATCACTAGTTGTAGGTACTTTTAAATTGTTAATACGTTAATAATTCCTAACTGTAGTATTTCCCTAGAAATAAAATGATCTTAACAGTGATGTACCTTAAGGTCATTGTTTACAGAACAGTATCATCTTGTCTAGTCAGTAGTGTTAATCCTTAATCCTATCAAAATGTTTCTGTTGTGGATAATGGTCATTATGATATAACCGCAGCCTCAAGGAATCTGATGTTTCTGAGTGATGCTAAACTCATTTATCTAAAAACCATGTTGCTTTCTTAAATCGCTTATCTTACTGACTACAATGTAACAATTCATATAAAGAAATTGGTTGAGCATTTAACAACATAGGTTCATTCATTATCCAATGATGGAATGAAATGTAAGATTACATTTTACAGGGATACTTGACTACACTATAGACATAAATTGACTCAAAATTTTCAGAGTAAGAAATGAGCATGTGGTGTCAGCAGTCCCTAAGTTTTTCTACATATATTAAGTGGATCAACACAATCATTTGTGAATAGTAAATGGAGAAATTAAAAACAGAAAAATGATCAGTGTGTAGTGATTATTTGGATTTTATGCAACAAACAGTGTGGTAGATGTATTTTCTATAATCATAGGACAAAAGTTGACAGTCTTTCTTTGTTTATTTCATCATATTGAAATATGTCTGTATTTTTATTGATGTTAGACCACCATTGAAAACCTGAAAGCACTGGACGGCCGTTTCGTCCTATTATGGGACTCCTCAGTAGTGCGCATCCACGATCCCGCACCCCGCAAGATTCAAACCCAGTGCCTTCAGTCTCGCGCGTGAACGCTTAACCCACTGGACCACTGAGCCGACATCCAATGGTGTTAATGTCTAACCTCAACCAATCCACGGAATTGTTCAACCATCTTCCATTGTACTGAGGTAGACATCTGTTTCTGCCCGACACGGATCGGCTCCACTGGTCACGGCTTCTCAACAGAACTTCGAGAATTTTCTCACGAAGCTAGACACTTATGAGTACGTGGTAATTATAAGTATAGAGGTAGTGAAGATTGTTAAGTTTTGATTGAGACCATGAACTGATTGGTGTTAGACCACCATTTAAAACCTGGAGGCACTGGACGGCTTTTTCGTCCTATTGTCTAACATCAATCGGTTTATGATCTCAATCAAAACTTAACAATCTCCACAACCCCTATACTGATATATGTATTTTATAAATTATTTAAATAAAGTTTTCATTATCCAAAATGTTATGTAACAGAATGTTTAAAGGGAAAACAACTTTCTTCACCTCATATGTCATTCTTTATATCAAGATAAATATGCGCATTTTATTTTTCTCGCTCATGAGATTAAAATGTTTGATTCACTACTAAGAAATTAATAATAATAATAATAATAGTAATAATAATAATAATACTGCTTATAACTTTCGGTCTTTTAGCTATCAGCTTATAGGAGAACAGAACCGTGATTGTGCAACTTGCAAATAAAATATATATGAAAATTGAGGTATTAAAAAGCCGTTCAAATGAAATTCACAATCCATTTAAAGGCAGAACACTATATTATTTAAACCATGTTATTATATTGACAAGATGCGTTCAGTATCAATAAAACTACTTTTTTTACCACATGAATATATATTACTTTACTACTGAAAAAATTGTTAGTAGCTTGTAGATTTCGAATGTAATAAGTTGATCTTACATAACTTAAATGTTATAGCTAAGATTAGATATTTCGAGATATTTGTGAAACAGAGTAGAATGTATTAGGAGTATCACTTTAAATTTAGATTTAATCGTTTCATTAAAAAACCAATCAATATCTTTTGTGAGGATCCTGTGAATGAATTCAGCATTTGGTTGACTATTTCCGATTTTTCCGTTGTAATTATTTCTTTCTATGTATAAAAAGGTTTCATTATTCTTATATATAGATATTCATTTCACTGCTGTCTCTCTTATTTAATATTTTTGTTTTTCAAATATCAATTCAGACTTAATTTTGTGACAGTTTGTATTTGTCTTATTTAATTGAATATATCATCTTTATTGTTCCTTAAAGTATTTCTGATCATGAATTCCGAACAGATTTTCTGCATTTTGAAGAAAATTTCAACTAATTTACCCTTGAGATTATTCGAAATCGATTATCGATAAATAAAAAAACATTGACAGCTGAAATAGATTTGTTTTCCTTTTGTTTTAATTTTGATATGACTTTAAATCATTATTCAATATCAGCTTATATGGAGAGAAGTTTAACCTTCTCTATTTGTTATAGTTACACGAGAACGTATATTTTCTTGTATAAAGTGAAATGACATCTTACAAGATAGAAATATGATAAGTCATTTATTTAGAGATAATAATATAAAATGAGTTCATGTTCATGAAAACTGGTTCAGTTCATACTGTTACATGAATCAACCTCAATCAATGAATATTTCTTATTAGATTTTCACTGATACGAATTACAGTCAGCCTTATCATCGCTTTTCATATAAAAAACATAATTATATTGTTTCAGTCGATACTTATTTTATTAGTAGAAAGTTTCGTTAATTTTTTACTTCATGTGCAGTATTGAGTAGTTAACTATACAAAAGTTAGAAGTCTGATAAGATATTATTATTATTTATTTCATTTGATGTGATGAAAGGCTTAAAGATAAGCATAGAAGGTAAATTTATCTAAGAAATAATCAGAGAGAAAATATAGCAGTTCTTCATACACACTTACCAACCTTTTCAGGAAAGTCGTGAATCAGATGTAGGAACAGGCTAAATGCAAGGTCTATTCCTTTATATTTTACCATAACTGTGGCAATTCGGTCATCAATCTACTCATGATTCAATACATTAATGCCTTCTTTTTTATTAATTATAAATTCAGCCTTCTTATTCTCGGAGTCACTAAGATCAAGGTTACTGCCTTAAAATATGACATTCTCGTCTACTGTTATTCTGAATGAAGCTCTCGTTCTCATTAATATCGTTATGGGGTATTTGCGTCCACTTATTTGGTTGACTGTCTGATGAAGTCTTTACGCGGGACCCTTCTGTTTACTCTTCCATACACCCCTTAACAAGCCACATGCTAACAACCCTTGATCTATAATATTTGCTTTCACATAGTCTCTGTGAACCTTAAGTGCAGTCATACTATTCGGATGAAAAAGCCGAAACTCATCTGTTTTTTACCTGTTTCCATTCTTGTTCTCTTGAAATAAACAAATTAAAGACATTGTAAGTAGTCATCAACTTAAGCGATCAATTCAGTAGTCTAAACAGTAATACAATACTTCTATTATAACAGAGTGTATTTTTCGTTACAAAAGTTCCGTCTACTACAATGTTTGTTCAAGATAAAGGAGGAGACTAATTTTAAGAGATTCGTGAGTTTCATTCAGATACCAATTTTGTTGAGGAGTCACATTCATACTTTGAAAATGAATCAAAAGTTACTACATTATTTTGTCTGAAACATATAGGTCTTTGTTAAACCAAATTAGAATTTAGTAAGTAATAATTATTCATTATTTGACTTCATTTTGCCGACTACAACATTAAATCAGGAAATCATGTGAAGAAATTCATATTTTCATTGTTAAAATTAATCATTGTGATTCAAGTTTTGAAGGCTACTTTCATAATTTGCGAAATCTATCCTTACTTATTATACATCACAGTTATGAATCATGTGAATATTGAGTCGTACACTTACTTGATTAACTCTGCTACCCCTCGTTTCAGGTCCGTGCAATGAAACTGTTTTAAGATTGATGTTGATTCTGACTTTGGTTTTGAGTTTAAATATTCTTCCATTATAGGAATGTTGCTCTTGCTTTAACAATTCATACTTCAAAATATGCGTCCGACTCATTCTCATCACTGTTGCTGTAATGGTAAGTAAAGGCTTCCACCACTTCCATAGCATTAACATCAAATCAGGTTTAATTGTAGCTCACTGTGTTGTACTTTGGAATCTCAATTTTGCTTCTGTGAACGTCGATGCTTATTTCGCAGATAGTTGTTGCTAGACTGGTTGTCTTCGTCTGCATCTGTCGTTGCGCATACGATAGCAAGGCTGTCATTTCTGAAGTTCAAATCACTCAGGTGTCTCCTGGTTGTCCACCATAATTCACGTTTTCTTGGATGTGGAGGCCTTCATTATCTAGTCAAGGAAGAAAAAGGGCAAGAGTAAGCACCCTTATTTGAAACCGGTTTTTTCACTTGTAATACATCTGTGGGTTTTGCTCAATTCAAGCATTGCAATTCAGCCCCTCATTAGAGTTCTGTAAAGTCTCTTAGTTGGGGGCCCATCGAATTGGGGGCGCTTTGTTGAGATTTCTGCACGGTAGTGACAGTAATTTGATGCCTTGATAATTCTCTCACGTAGTAAGATCTACTTTTAGCGGGATCTCGCTCAGGTATCCCTCTTACAAGTCTCTCTCCTGCTACTTATTCTTTCTCCCAAATCTTTATGGACTGTACTTTGTGCATCTTTACAGTTGCTTTAGCTGGTCCTACTGAACCTATGGAGTTGGCATTCCTGATTTGTAGATTGGTCTTGATAAATTCTACTGCTGGTAAGGAATCACTCACAAGGAAGTCTATGTTTGCTAGCCCAGTATCCAGTGTTCTCAGCGTCACTGACCTATTCACGCACTCTCCATGATGTTTGACCCACCTATCATACTCGTCCTGATTCTCGGTAATCGGTTTGCTTCCTTTGTTCCTGACTGACCACTTCAGCTTAACATATTTCTCTACTGGCTCGTATTTTCTTCTCTTGCAGTTTGTCCTGTTGTAGTTGCCATGTCTTCTACGTATTTTCGCTTGTCAACTAGAATGTTCTTGACTCGCTTGTTCGTTTCGGTATATTCAGAATGTAGTTTGACTCGCTGTGCTTTGTTAAACTATTGGTGACTGTTGTCTTGCTGCTTTTCCCTCTTAAAATCATGGCTAGATTGTCTACAGCGGTCTATTGTTTAATATTGTGCTGGTTGGGTTTCAGCACTTCGTGACAAGTTGAATTTATGGCTTCTTTAATTGTTTTCCAATCGTCCTTTGTCATGGTTTCCTCTTGTTTGGGTAGATTCTGCAAGGTTTGAAACTTGTTGATGAGAACCATATTGAATTTGCTGGATTTACTATCATCTGAAAGGAATGCTGTGACAAACTTTTGTATTACTACTTCGCCAACTGTTCAATGCTTCTTTGGCCTCAATTTTACCTTGGCCACTATCAGGTGAAGATACAAGTACATATCAGTCCCCATAAATGTACATACGTGCTCAATGGACCTGAATATTTTATTTATGAAGACGTGATTAAGCTGGTTTCCCGTATTGTGGTCTGTGGTTTGTGGATACACCTGTTGGATAAACTGGTGCCGGCTTAGTCCACGTTGTTTAATGCTAGGTTTTTCATTAATTTAAGCGTATGAGTTTTTCATTAAATAGTCTATTAATTAACGAAAATTGAGGAAGGAAAACGGAATTTTCGTGCGTTTGTATGGATGCAGTAAATGAATAAGGCTCTTTCGTTCACAAGTATTCCTCTGTTTCCCTAAAACTTTAATAAAAGTAATATATCACTGCCTCTGAGAGTTAGTATTTTGAGACATTCGGTAGACCCGATCTGTAATCAGGGTAATATATCAATATAAGTGATCCTCTGTTCATGTTGTATACCTATTCTGCAACCCTCTTTTTGTTTAATATCACAATCAGATACCTTTGTAGGATTACGTATTATTACCAGTTATTTGACATCTCTTTAATAGATTTTATATGAATTCTTTCATTTCTTATGATTAGTGGTATATCCATGCAGCAAAAGGTTTTTCAGAAGTTTTTAGTTAGCAGAAAAATGCATTTAGCTTCAACTTTCATCAAGTTATAGATAATTTTTATCTTGATAACCTCTCGGAGTGCGAAACTCAATAATATGAGCTGGAATCCATCAAGGAGCATCAGTTTCCTCGAAATTGAAGTTAGTTCTTGCTAAATGGTAATAATGAGTTCAATTTGTAAATCTACGTTTTCTTGTAAACGATTAGAAACCACCTAAGCTCAAAATATACTTCAGCTAATATTTATTCACTAAGAATAGAAGTCATATTAGGACTTGATAGATAGGATTTGATCTGCACTAAAGACTAGATAAACGACACGATCATTTTATTTAATCTGTTTGATTTCCCCATGCATAGACACAAATTAGAATTAAATCGGCATGTTACCACTAATATCAATGAATGTAAATAACCCGTGACATGGTCTTACTGGAAAAGTGTCGAAATTTCTGATTATCCTAGCTCGATCATCTTGAGGCCATCGTTTCATTTTGATCCATCCATAATTCACCATTCAAATCAGCGGTGAAAGTTTTAAACAGTTTGAGCCTCAGCAAACAGAAGACTTGAATCACACTTATCTAGGTTTGATGTAATTTTATATACTGTAAATATTTCTTATACATATACATCATTTATTATTTGAATATGTAAGTCTAATGGTTTATGACAGTGAATTTTTTCGACTTAAATTTTCCATTGATATGCCTTAATTATTTTACCCCATCTGATATTATGAGAAAAATGAATGAAGAAATAAGTATTAATTCATGCTTGATTTGTTTGTTTCTTACCACAGATTTTAGTAGATTGTAACCAGAATAAAATGGAATGATACGCTTGAATTAATCAAGAATATATCTGTAATGAGTTCCTTTTTTTCCTCAATTGTAGCAATATATTTTATGTAAATCCTTTTTATTTTTTGTCCAATGTCTATGTATCAGTATAGCCTATAAAAGTAAAGATTTCCTACAAAAAGTCATTTAATAGACATTATATCAATAGAGTAATTATAAATGCAAATCTACTTCCTTTCCCTAAATGTATGATCGCTTGTTTTACAAATGACTCCTTTCACAAATATAGATAGTTAATATAAAAGAATAATAATTCACATCGTTCAGATAAATAATCGTCTGATTTTCACTTTGGTGACATAAACGTTGAAAAGCTTTCTTCCTTTTTAAAACTATTATTTAAAATTACAATGACGTTATTTAAAATCTATAACCAATGGAGTTAATTCATTCAAGGAATAAGAAAGATAGAAAAGATAACACTGGATGATGATATGACTATTTCATGAGTTGACCAAAGTTAGGGACCTTGACCA